GAACCTTGTGAACAAGAAAGGGGGAAGAAGTTCCAGTTAAGTGCCTTGCAAACATCTGTCTAAGGACTGATGTTTGTTTATGGCCTATGACAAGTTTTCACTGGCCTGGGGTAAGGAAAAGGAAGAAATTTTTTGTAATGCTAAATTGATTCAATAGAATGTACTATTTTTTAATCTGAGATTATGTATTTCTTATTACTTTGGTAAAAGATCTTCCTTTCAGAATTGTTGATAGGTGATAGCAATTGGTTGATTTTGTTTGTGTATATATCTTTAATTGGCAAATTTTTAAAAAGCAATTCCATGGAAATTCCCAAAGTAGTTTTGATATTTTCCTTGTCCATTAAATCCAAATGCCCAGGAACCACTGGCCTAGCATAAAAACATGACCTGGGAAAGAAAGTGTGTGGACNTACCTGTGGGAGACAGCTTGATACACAGGTTTCCATGCATTCCCATTTATTTATAATACTATGCATATAGCTCCCCCCAGTCTGTCCCCTCGGAGTGGTGACCTTGAAAAGGGAAAACCTTCTGCTAAGAAATTTGAGTGTGAGAGCTGGAACCTCAGAGAAGGCTTTGCTTCACTCGGCGTTCTTGCCATCTGAGTTCTGAGCCTTCACTCTGATCTTGTTCCCCCTTCTTGTCATGTNAAATGCCCAGGAACCACTGGCCTAGCATAAAAACATGACCTGGGAAAGAAAGTGTGTGGACGGGGCAGCAAAGCCTGTGGGTACCTGCAGGAGGGATCGCTGCAAAGACAACAGAGGGACAACACAGATGCACAGCACCTGCTCTGCAAGCAGAAGGCACAGGTTCCAGCCACAGCTCTGCCCTGAGAGTGGTAACCTCAGATCACAGACTTTTCTTCTCTGCAGTGCCTGGCTGCTCTAGTAGTCTTAGGTTCCTGGTGTTTCCACGGTCTGAAAGTTGTACTGAAGATGTCCTTATGTGATTGACATTTTATTTTCTCTGCAGACCCTGTCCTACAATAAATACAACCTCAAACCCCAAACAAGTGAGAAGCAGGCTAAAGAGATTCTGATCCGCCGCCAGAACACTCTAAGGGAAAGCAAGAGGAAAGCCCACAGCCTGCCCTGGGCAAAGCCGGTATGCTGGGGACTGTTGACTGGGGACGTTCCTTCAGTCTACAAATGTTTGTCATCTGATAACTGGACCTGTCCCTGTACAGGGTGAATAACCAGGTGAATCACTCAGGTGACCTACCATCAATATTTGAACAAACAAAACCCCTACCTTGTTTCCTGAGAGATGCGAAAGCAAGAGAGTGCAGGCACCAAGGCAGCCCCTCCCCCTCTGGGTCCAGGACCTCAGGGAGCCGAGACTCCAGCCCATGGGAGTACATGGCAGCCAACTGCCCTCCAGGGTGGGTGAGGGGCTGCGAGTCCAGACCCGGCCCCCTTGGAGTCCAGGTGGGCTCTGCAGGGAGACCTCCATGGACCAGGCCTTCTGGCCCTCCAGACTTACTTCTCTCCCAGGAAGACAGAGGGACGGAGTCGTTCTTCCCAAGACTCTTGGGCCTCATCTTCCCGTTACCCATTCTGCATCTGAATTCTTCCTGTTGGAGGCCATACCAAACCAGTCATACTGGGACTTGCAGATGCCTCCCTAGTCTCGACCCCAGTCTCACTGGGGCTGGGGAGTAACTTTGAGGGGTCATGATGGTCCATTTTATCACGAGAGGAAGAGGAAACAGATATTGAATACTGAAGTTCTGCATTCTTTAAACAAAAAAGATTGAAAGCCAGTAACCCAAACAAGATGACACAGCATATATAGGTCTGTGTTCTTCACTTTACAAGGGTACTTCAAAACGTTCATGGAAAAATAGAATTAAAGATAATGTGAATCTTTCCCCAAACTTTTTGAAGTACTCTTGTATTTGCCATGTGAAGCTCTTAATTGCAGTCGCTCATTCTGCTGTTTGTTTCTCTTTGCTACCAACAGGCTGGCACCAAGAACATCCACTACCTCTCCTTTCCCTACAGCAACCCCCAGCCAGCGAGAGGTGTGAGGGCTGCTGAATTCACAGGTAACTGCGTGTTTCGCCGCTCTGTCTCTTTTTCTGTAAAGGATCAGATGGTAAATATTTGGGGTTTGTGGGCCAAGAGGCAAAACAGATACTTATACGACAAGAAAAGGAAGAAAACAGCTTCTTTATTGAGGTAACTTAGAACTTTATTTATGAAAACTGAAATTTGAAATTCATATCATTTTTACTTGTCATGAAATATCTTTTACCCTTTTTGAGCCATTTAAAAGTGTAACAACCACCCATAGCTCAGAGACCATACGAACATAGGCATTGGGCCAGACATAGCCTACAGGACACAGTTTGCTGACCCCTGTCTTAAGTGAACATAAAAGGGGTGCTGTGTTGAAGTTGTGGGATTCACCCACAGTATAAATATAAGGAGAATTCTCCAAAGTTAGTTAAACTTTACTGAAATGATTTCACCAAATCTACTGATTAAATGTTTCCCATTTAATATTCAGTTCTTGAAATTATTTGAAATTGTTTATTATTCTAGTAAAAGCCAAGTTACTATTTTTAAATATGTATATAAAATGATTTTCTATTAGCAAAAGGTGGCATGTAATATATATAATATGCTACATTATCTATTTTGATTTTTCTTTTTTAAGCCTTCAAATCATATTTAAAATTCTAGTAAACTAAACACATATAATTTTAGAATTAAATTTTTAAAATACGAATCTTCCCCCGAACTTTTTGAAGTACTCTCGTATTTGCCATGTGAAGCTCTTAATTGCAGTCGCTCATTCTGCTGTTTGTTTCTCTTTGCTACCAACAGGCTGGCACCAAGAACATCCACTACCTCTCCTTTCCCTACAGCAACCCCCAGCCAGCGAGAGGTGCGAGGGCTGCTGAATTCACAGGTAACTGCGTGTTTCGCCGCTCTGTCTCTTTTTCTGTAAAGGATCAGATGGTAAATATTTGGGGTTTGTGGGCCAAGAGGCAAAACAGATACTTATACGACAAGAAAAGGAAGAAAACAGCTTCTTTATTGAGGTAACTTAGAACTTTATTTATGAAAACTGAAATTTGAATTTCATATCATTTTTACTTGTCATGAAATATCTTTTACCCTTTTTGAGCCATTTAAAAGTGTAACAACCACCCATAGCTCAGAGACCATACGAACATAGGCATTGGGCCAGACATAGCCTACAGGACACAGTTTGCTGACCCCTGTCTTAAGTGAACATAAAAGGGGTGCTGTGTTGAAGTTGTGGGATTCACCCACAGTATAAATATAAGGAGAATTCTCCAAAGTTAGTTAAACTTTACTGAAATGATTTCACCAAATCTACTGATTAAATGTTTCCCATTTAATATTCAATTCTTGAAATTATTTGAAACTGCTTATTATTCTAGTAAAAGCCAAGTTACTATTTTTAAATATGTATATAAAATGATTTTCTATTAGCAAAAGGTGGCATGTAATATATATAATATGCTACATTATCTATTTTGACTTTTCTTTTTTAAGCCTTCAAATCATATTTAAAATTCTAGTAAACTAAACACATATAATTTTAGAATTAAATTTTTAAAGAGTAAATAATTATTCTTTAAAAGGAAACTTTTTTTTCTGATTTAAAACATGCTTAATGTAAAATCAAAATCAGTCAGAAGAGAAAAGCATAAAAAAGAAAGTTAAAAGCCCTTGAAACCCCAACACCCAGATACAATCACCACAGCACATTTTGGTTAGTGTTCTTCTACAATTCTCTCTACACCCTCCTGATCCCTACACTACCCATACCTGATACAGAAAAACAAAACAAAAAAACAACAACCAAAAAAAACCAAAACAACAAACACGCAGTATTATATTATATATAAAATCAAAATATCATCGTTTTGTAATTTTTATAAATTGCCTATTTCACTTAGCAATGTGTTGTGGACAGATATCCATGTCAATAGATATGCATCTAGTACTCATTTTTAATGACTGAATAATAGTCAACTATATAGAAGCACCATACCTTATTTAGGTAATTCCTAATTAGTAAATACACAGGGTATTTCCAATTTTTAATAAATATAAGCAATGATATATAAGAAGCACTCTGGATCACTTGTGATTGATTTTTACACAAATAACCAATTATTCCTTTAGTATGTTTTACTGTAGTAAATTTTTGAGGTAAAAATTCACATATTTTTGAGTTTTTACATGTATTGCTAAAACATCATCCAAAAGATTATGTCACTTATTTCCCCACACACCAACAGTCTGTGAGAATGCTCTTTTCCCAGCACCTTTACTATCACTGACCTATTGTCAAACCTTTGAGTAATCTACAATATGATAACATAAAATTTATACACCATATTTAATTTTCATCTGAATCTTTTTGACTTGTAGTGGGATTGAATATCTTGTATCTTTTGGAGACAACTATATTTCTTTTGGGGAATTTTCTGTTTCTACCTTTGACCATTTTTTTCTATTTGGTTGTTGATTTTTAAAAAACTAATTTGAAGAACTCCACATTACAAGGATATCACCCATTTACTCCCCTATTTGTTGCCAGTGATTTTTCCTCAAATTTCACATTTGTCTTTTAGTTTTTAGACATATTTGCCTTTCAGAAATTTTTTATCAAATGTGCTCAATCTTCAACAGAAAAATTAGAGAATGATTACCCCAATTTTTTCACCTAATTTTCTTTATCTAGAACTTTAGTAGTTTAATTTTCTCATTTCAATTTCAACCCATCTGAGATTTATTTTTATGTACGGATTGAGATAGAAATGTACTTCGGATTGTTTTCAGATGGCTATGCTCTTATCCCAACGCCACCTTCTCCTCCAAGGTGAAATGCTGCCTCTGCTGTACTAAAGCCACTTATGCTGGAGAGAGTTTTGGACTTTCAATTCTATTTCATTGATATAATCATCCATTCCCAGAACACACTTTAGTAAGTAGTATTATTTTATGTTTTCAATGAGCTATTCCACAAACAAAAGCAAACAAACCAAACAAGAGTGCACCAGATAGATACAGGATATATAATAAATTAATTTTTTAAAAAAATTTCCTGTCACAAATAATCTGGTGGTATTTATGTTGTCTGAGTGACTAGAGGACAAGAAAGTGTCACAGTTATTTCTTATGAGATGAGCATCAATGTCACAAGACTGTGGTAACAGGAGATGACCACAGAGCAGACTCATGTGAGCACTACTGTACATAAGCATTATAAATAAAATGCAGCAGAACATTAAAAGAATAATACACCTTGCAAAGAGGGCCTTATTCCAGAAGTCAGGGGCTGTTTGACATCAGGAAATGAATTTACATTATTCACCAGATTACTAGGTCAGAGGATCCTATCCTTTCAACAGATGCCCTCACTAAAGGGCATCTCACTTACACTTTCACTAAAAGCCATAAAATGGAAGGAAAATACACACGTATAGGACCTATATGAAGACAAAATAAAACATTCCTATTTGTAACAGAGATAATATTGGCACCTCCCACCTAGAATGGTGCTGTCTGGAGGTGAAGCCAATCACACACCTACAGGTACACACATGAACAGGATACATAATGCTGTTAAGACAGGGCCTGGAACTAAGATGTGCAGGAAATATTAGTCATTATTATTGTTACTGTTGAGGGACATTAAAGAAGACTTGACATGGGTAGATATAGGTGTTCCTGGAAAGCAAGACAACACTTCAAAGTGTCAGTTCTACAGGAATTAATTTAGACATGGAATAAAATCTTACCTGCAATGAGTTCTTTTTTCTTTCAAATGCGTTCAACTGGTTTTAAATTTCCTCTAGGAAAGCAAAGAGAGTGATGTAACTAGAAATCTGAGAAAGGAAGGTAATGAAGTGGCACTTAGCAACTACTTATCCTTAAT